GGTCCTAGTTCAGGCGGCATCTGCTGAACTCTGTTAAAATCCCAGCTGGGCAGCATGAGGTGGAAACCCAGGCCTCAAGCTCACAAAGGCTCATTGAGGTCTAGCCTCTCCCCTCATTAGCTCTGCAATCTGCGGCAGGTGTCTGAACCTCTCTGGGCCTCCATTTCTCATCGGCTAAATGGGGGTCCTAGCATGGCCCCATTCGTGTGAGGGTTGACTGTAAGTACTGGGGGCCTGAGGTGTGTCGGAAGCCTGCAGGGTTACATCTGGCACCAGCCTGCCTTCCCTCCTCTTCCCTCCCCAAGCCAGGAAAGGCCTGGCTTTCTTTCCCCCTTCCCAACTGGGCACTCAGGCCTTGCACACCCTGCCAGCTGCCCTCCCTCCCATCCCAGGCCAGGCTTGGACAAAGCGGAGACTGGCTGATGGTCAGAGGCAGGAGACCAGGGCAGCCCTGAGGCTGGCGCTGCTCTCCGCGTGTTCACAGCAGGGTCTCTGCTGGCTGCCAGGGCCTGGACTGAGGCCGGTCAGAGAGAGGCCCACCCACAGGAGGGTTCCTCATCTTGTTCCTCAGGAACCTGCCAGCCTATGGGCCCCTAGACTTTCTGCCCCCACCTCTGGCCAGCATACCCACGATGTACCCCTAAGCTAGCCAGACTGGAGCAGGGCCGGTAACGAACCACACACTTCCAAGCCAGGCTGGGCCGAGGCAAGGAAGGAAGTCTGCTCCTCACATCTGTGCCCTGAGCCCCGCTCTTGGCCCATGGGAGCCGCCATGACAGAGCCCCAGGCTGGGGAGACTGGGAGGAAGAGTCTTCTGCCCAGACCTCACCCATGATAGGCCTCAGGCTGAGCAACTGGGAATACAGGCCACGCTCGCCGTTCCGTGGAACAGACCCATTCACATCCCTTTCTGTCCAGGAGTGACCCACGGGCCTGGGCCGTGTGGCTGTGCTGGGGCCCAGGGTTCTGTATTTAGTGACATTTCTGCATAGAACATGCTTTATTCTTTTTAAGTAAAAGGAAATCTAGCCCCCTTTTCAGTGCAAGGAAATAGTCTTGCAGGTATGAGCCAGGACATCCTCATTGTGAGACACCATGGTGGTGAGGGGACAGAACTCAGATGCCGGGGCCAGGTCCTGGGTCAGAGCCCAGCTCTCACAAGCTGTGTGGCCTGGGCCATGGCTGTCCCTCACTGCGTCTCAGTTTTCCTGCCTGTAAGATGGGGGTGACAAGAGCACCTGCCCCACTAAGTTGCCAGAGGACCACACAGGCTGACGCACAGGACACCCTTGGAAGAGCATGTGGTGTGTGACAGGCACTGCAGACAAGGTTTGCTTGATCACGTGTAGGTTTTCTGGAAACCCCACACGTCATTGACGGATGGGAGGAAACGGAGGGGGATTTTGGGGGAGAGAGGATGAGCTAGCTGCAAAAATAGATGACCCCCCAGATAGGGGCATTTGACTGTAGTGTTATCATGAGGACTCTGTGTCCTGACGTGCACTCATCGGGCCTTGGGCTCCCAGGGCTCTGAGACACACAGGTACCATGCCCCCTGGGGCCTCCACCCCAGGGTCTCCACCCCAGGCACCATGACCCAACAGACCTGCTTGCGATCCCGGCCTGCCTCCTGGCAGCCACAGTTTCCTCAGCTGCACCCCTCCCTCCTCACTGCTGTCCTGGGGATTAAGTGAGCTAGTCGGTGCCCCATGCACCACCTGGTATGCTCTTAATGAACGTCAGCACGTGTCGCTGTTAGAACTTATCTCGGGCCACCAGGCTTTTCTGGCCATTCTTTTCTCTGCATCTGGCATCTGAGGCTTTCCTCAGAACCTTACAGGGTGTGATCGATAAAGGCTGCCATTTTATCGTGAGTTTATTTGGAGGAAGGCGGGTGGGAAAAGCCCTCACCCAAGGGTTATCTGAATTTCGCATTGTCCACGGAAGCAAAAGTTTGTCCCGGGAGGGGAAGCTTTCCCCTGTTTCTATATAAGGCTCAGCTAGACATACAGCACACACACAGACATACAGTGCATCAGTGATAAAACATTGCTGGGAGCAAGAGGACAGCTACCAAGAAATGTCTAGAAAGTTCCTAGGGGAAGGGAGGTGATGAAAACAAGACTGAGAAGCACTGAATTCAAAACGTTAAGGAGTTTCGAGGTCATAGGACAGAGAATGAGGCTTGAGATCCCAGAGCTATCCTTCTGCCCAGCCCATACAAGCATCCTTGGGCCTTCCCTGTAGGCAGTGCTGGGTGCTGGGGCGTGGGTATCTGACGGCAGCACCCCCAATACAGGCCATTGACAAGGGTTCAGGTCACCTCTTATGCCAGACTCCCTCCTCCTGCCCCATTCAGGTCAGAGTCCAAGTCTGCCTCCATATGAGCCTGGCACCCGTGCGCGGGATGGGGGCTGGCCTACAGTCCTTCCTGCTCTAGAACAAGCCCCAGCCCCGGGCTTTGTCACTGGCCTGGTCCCAGTGTGCGCCAGGTCTTCAGCTCACCCCTCTTCCCCCGGGCACCAGCCTTTGCCAGGCTCAGGGCCCAACATGGAGGATGCAGAGATGTGGCTCGGCCCCTTCCTGGGCTGGCACAAGTGAGATGTGTGTACAGGAGCACAGAATAGGTCTGCAGTCGGTGGGGGCTGCTCCAGCGGCCGCCCGCCTGCACTCCCTGTGTGAAGGTTTAAGCTCTGGACCCTCAGTGGTGCCAGGCCTGGCTTGGGGCAGTCCATGAAAACTGATTTTCAGCAAAATCCCTAAAGCCAAAGAGATCAGGAACCCGGATCATTGTTTATAAACACAGTCAAAACAGGCTCTTGGGAGAGAGTGCGGATCGTGGCCTTGGAAGCACCTGAGGTCAGATCTCAACCACCATTGACTGGTGGGAAATCACAAGATATCTCTGAGCCTTAGTTTTCATCTATGAAATAGGGGCCATGTATTCTCAGATTGAACTGGCGTGCCTGCGAGTTCTCTGGACCCTCCGGGCTTTTGAGGGAAGGAGTTGGCAGAAACACTTGCAAGCTGCACCAATAGGTCGAGAAGCAGCCCTGTTGACCCCACAGGAACCACCTGAAGCTGTCACTTTCCCCAGCTGTGACCCCTCGGTGGTATGACCCCATGGTCACTTCAGTGAGTTGCTTAAGTAATTTGGACTCACACAGGGTCCCTGGGCAGACCCCTTGAGGCAGGGTGCTTGGTGCAGGCTCTGATGCCCAGGGGTGCTGAGTGAATTGCAGCCGTCCTTGTCATCAGCGTGAGTACTGTTTCTACTGTAGGACGGCCGTCTTCCCAAGGGCAGATGGGGTGGAACACTTGTGCCTGGCTTAACCTGACCCAGAATCCCTGGTTCTGTGTCCCAGTTGCCCCTCCTGGCTGTGTGGCTGACTCTGAGGGACAGCTTACCTCTCCCGCCAGCATTACATCACACAGGAGGAAGGCTCCTCACGAAAGCATTTAGGGAGGTGAAATGATCTGCCTGTGGCACTATTTGCTCTTGCTGTAATTGAGGTCCAGTCCCCCTTCCTAACCCAAGTAGGTGTTGGGCTCCACTAAGATCTCATTTGCAGTCTATCAGGGCTGGTGAGAGCCAAGGGTCTGCCGTCAGAGAAGCCCGGACTTGATTCTCATCAGACATGGCTGTGTGAGCTTGAACCATTGACTTAACCTCTCTGGGCTTCAGGTTTCCCCCGTCTGTTTTTGTGTTTTTTTTTTTTTGAGTTGGAGTCTCACTCTGTCGCCCAGACTGGAGTGCAGTGGCCGCTTCCAGCCACCGCAACCTCGACCCGCTGGGCTCCGGCGATCCTTCCGCCTCAGCCTTCCGAGTAGCTGGAACTACAGGCATGTGCTACCACGCCCGGCTGATTTTTTGATTTATTGTAGAGATGAGGTCTCGCCAAGTTGCCCAGGCGGGTCTTGAACCCACGGGCTCAGGCAATCCACTCGCCTCAGCCTCCCAAGGTGCGGGACTACAGGCTGAGCCACCAAGCCTGGCTTCCCCCGCCTGTTAAACGGGGCCGATCGTACTGACTTCACTGTGCTCTTACAAAGAGGAAGTGAACTGAGATCAAGCTCTTAGCATACTGCAATGCATGTACAAAGTGTTGGTGAAACCGTAGCTGCTGTTGTTATGACGATCATCATTGCTGCTGTTACTGTCATTAGCGTCAAATGAAAAAAAAGAAAAGCTATTGTCTGGAATCAGGAACAAAAGTACCCCCAGGATCGACAGGGTTGACCCAAACTACAATCAGCACAGAATTGTTATCCGTGTGAATCAGTCTATAGATTCTCCACTCAATTCTGGTCAAAGTTAACAGTGGCTCTGCAGGCTCCACCGAAGCCCTCCATACTGGTTTGCCAGAACTGCCGTAACAAGTGACCTCAGACTTCATGACTTAAACAACAGAAGTATATTTTCTCTCAGCTCGGGAGGCCAAAGTCCAGGGTCAGGGTGCCAGCAGGGTTGGTTCCTCCCGGGGCCTCTCTCCTTGACGTACAGATGGCCACTCCCTCCCATGTCCATACCTTGGGCATATCTGTGTGTCCATACCTCCTCTTATGAGGACACCATCAGCAGCCTCGTTTTAACTCGGTCACCTCTTTAAAGCCCATGTCTCCAATACAGTCACATTCTGAGGTACTGGGAAGTTAGAGGCTCAAGGTATGCGCATGAGGGCACAGTTCAGCCCGTAGCACCCCCCAGCGGATCTAAAGGGGGCACGAGCCATGATCGTGTAGCCTCGGGCCAGGGCTAGGAGGGTAACGTCCTGGGTGCCTAGCCCGCCGAACCCTCGGTTGCCATGTGGACATCTCTGGACAGAGTCTGTGAGTGAGACCTGTGGCTGTGCGTTCTCAGCCTCCTAAAGTTGAAGGGGGTGAGCAGCCGGTGCCTCTGACTCCCTGCCAAACTTGTATCCCCCAGTTTGGTCTATCCCACACAGTGCATCATAAACCTCCTCTTGACCACACCTAACCGTCACCCTCTCTCCTTCTAGGTCGGACTATGACGACTGGAGACCATCCTTGGCCAGTTTGCTTCAACCCATTCCATTCCCCAAAGAGTAAGTCCCACGTGCCTCTCTGAAACCCTCTGACCCGTGAGAAAAACCCTAGTTGTTCACCGAGGCCTTAGTGGGGAACCAGTCATTTTATAGGACCCACCAGGTCACAGTGGGAAGACCCTGGAGATGGCAGTCCCGGCTCTGCCATGTCCTCATCTGTGGAACCCCTGGGGAGGCATGTCTCCCTCTTCTAAACAATGGGAAAACTAGGAAAGCAGGGAAGTGGCAGGAGCTGCCTCCTGGCATGTTACAGATCACCGAGCTAAGAGTGCACCAGCCCTGCCCACGGCACCTGGCTCACACTGACGCTAGCATCTGTTAGGATGCCCCTGATGTGAGTGGTAGAACCCGCTGTCCTGCTTGCAAGGGGATGGTGGAAATCAAGGGGCACCGCTCACCGTGCTGAGATGCAGGAACGTTCTCTTGCACTATCACGATGCATCACAAGTGTCTGGCCAGAGATGGACTCTCTGTGTCTCTCACCAGCCCTTGGCCCAGTATTAAATAGATCACAGGAAAAGAGGGAGAGTGCTGTCTGGTGGGTCATGACCTGTGGAGAAAGCTTTGTCTCGAGAACCAGCCCTAAAATGCCTCCAGCCTCTGTGTCAACAGCTTGGAAGGAGCCAGGCCTTGGGAGGCGCTGGGCCCTCTCTGGAGCACATTACCGAGCCTGTGTGTGCAGCACTGCCCTGCAAGGGCATATTACCTGCAGTAATTGCCCCATTTGCTGGCCTGGCCGGTCCCCGAGGGCCTCAGCACTCCGAGACCAGAGAAATCTGACTCCTGAGAGGCGCCACGGTCTCAGAAGAGTAGTGGCGTCATTGGCCGCAGCCCCTGTCCCCATGGGCCTGGGACACTCTTGGCAGTAGCCCATGATGCAATTCACTTGGAAGAATGGTCCCTGATTGCCACTGATGTGTGCAGTAATGAGTGCGGCTGCGTTAATTGTGGAACAATTAACGAGCACACCTGGGGCCCCAGGCCCATGTGCTCCTATATGCACCATGCAGGCCCCTCCTGGTTACAGGTGTGGGCTTGGAGGCTCTGGGGCGTGGGGGGCTCGGTCTATTCACATTACTGTGATCCGTGGCCTCCTCAATGGAGGCCTTTGTGTTGGAGCCTCGAGCAGGGACAAAATGTCAGCATTTCATTCTCAACTTCCTCTTCATTCTCTGAATCAGACATCAAGTCTAGACGGCAGGAAAGTCTTTGGAACATTGTGCTGTTTCCGAAGCGCCCTGCTAACGGCCGTTTTTCCTCTGTTTTTGTTACAGAGCTCTCGCACATGAGAAGTTCACCAAGTGAGTATCCGGGCACCGCCCTGGTTACCCTCTGACATGCGTGGCCCTGTCCGGAGGTCCTTCTCCCTCTGCCAGCCTCCTCTGGCCCCTTTTGGTGGCACGCACGTTCTGGGGGGAGGGGGTTGTGGCAGCTCTCCTGTGATGCGTGTCCCCATCATCTGGCACCTCCCTGATCTGTCAGCCCCCCTGGCTCCCTGACCTGTTCCTTCTTGACATCGGCCCCCTTCCCATCGTGCTCCCCACCTGGCCAGACCCTGGAATGACCCCGCCCGCCTCATCTCTTCCAGGGAACTGAAGTATGTGATTCAGAGGTTCGCTGAAGACCCCCGGCAAGAGGTGAGGCCTTTCTTTATGGGGATGGTAGGATGCGCAGGGGCCTCTTGGAGGCCTTCTGGGGCTCTGGCTGGGGCCTCCATGTCACCAGTGGGCATTCAGAGCAGTTTACAAAGGCCGGTTGCCTTGTGCATAAACACAGCCCCGCCCTGGTGCCGGAGCCGGCTGATGATGTCAGTGTTTTACTGTAAACTCAGGCTAACCAGAGGTGGTTTTCCACTGGCTGGTTCTCCACACAGCCCAGGCCTTAATTTCGGCGGCGGGCAGTGGGGGGGAGCTGGCATAGGCGCCCCCACCCAGCTCTGAGATGGCATTTTTGATCCCGAATGGCTCTGCTGTTGTGTGAGTCTGCAGGAAGAGGAAGGAATCTGAGCCAGTATCTGAGCCTGGCTTTTGTTTCCCAGGCTCTGTGGCCAAGCGCTCCTCTGAGGGACTGCTCTGTCCCTCACAGCAGCTGGGCTTCCAGGGAGAGGGCGACTTCCACCACCCAACACAGCCCATGGCGAGAGCACAGACCGAGGCAGCTGGAACCCTAGCCTTTCACCTGCCATTGCCAGCTGCCCTCTGTTAAGTGCTTCCCCTGGGTCAAGCCCACTTGTTTTCTCATTTTGGCCCCACATGACCCTGTGGGTACGTTCTGGTCTTATCCCCATGTTAAACCAGAATACCCTCTCAGAGTTGACAACGTTCATGCTAGATCACAGCCACAGTGTTGCACAGCTGGGTCACAGCCAGAGTGGGATTCGAGCCCAAGAAGCTAACTCTGCAGCCGTGCTATCACCAGCTCGCTGTGCTGCGATGTGCCCCAGGGGCTCACAGCCTGCTTCTCTGTGGTGTGGCGAGGGGTGAGAACAAACCTGAACTTTTGTGCCCTCAGCAGAGCGGGGTAAGGGGGGCATAGGACAGAGCGAGTTACTCTCTGGGGAACCATCTGGGGAGGCTTCCTGGAGAAGGTGGTACTGAAGGCATTGGATTTAGCTAAGCTGGGCTGTGAAACTTGACCTTGGTCTGGGAAGGTCAGTACTGGGCAGGAGGGTGGGGCGTGGGGCTGAGAAAGAACATGGGACCCAAGGCCTTGCCATTGCAGGTCCCTGTGCCCCAGAACCCACAGTCTGTCAGCCTCCAAATCTAGAAGTTCTAGAGCAGTGAAGCAAACTTCCCACTGTACCCTTCACTGTTCCAGCTCCCTAGGCCTCAGGGGGCCAAGAATCTGCATTTTGAACAAGCGTTCCAAGTGACTCTGATGTGCTGGTCTCCAGGCCACACCATAAAACCTAGTTCTAGAAGGATCTAGAAGGATCCAGTTCTAAAACACCAAGATTCTAAACTCCGATTCCGAAAGCAATCTTCAGGCATAGTGGGGAAAACCACCATGTTGGATAGGACGCTCCCAGATGGTCGGGCGCCAGTGACTGTCCTCATTCTTTTTTTTTTTTCTTTTTTTTGAGTTGGAGTCTCACTCCAACCGGAGTGCAGTGGCCGCTCCCAGCCACCGCAGCCTCGACCTGCTGGGCCCCGGCGATCCTTCCGCCTCAGCCTTCCGAGTAGCCGGAATTACAGGCGTGCGCTACCACGCCCGGCTGATTTTTTGATTTATTGCAGAGATGAGGTCTCGCTGCCCAGGCGCGTCTCGAACCCGCGGGCTCAGGCAATCCACTCACCTCAGCCTCCCAAAGGCGCGGGATGACAGGCAGAGCCACCGAGCCCGGCTTTCCTCATTCTTAAACTCAGTCATCCCTCGCCTGTGAAGTCAGTCTCAGAATTCCCCTGGAAAATGAGCCTTTATTTCAAACAGAGACTTTGAAGTTGGGAGAATAAAAGTGGTCCCAGCTGCTTCCCAGAGCGGAGAGGCACAGCCAATGCTGGAGGGAATTTCCAAGCCAGGGGGACAAGCATGCGGCCCGGGTCCCGCACGTTCGGAAGGCCGCTGACCGAGGCTGCCTCAGGCTCGGGCCCTTGCTGTCGGCCTCTTCTTTAGTTTTCTCTGCCAGTTCCCTTCCTCTCCCGCCCCTTCCCTCCTCACTCTTTTTTCTCTCCTCTCCTCCCTCCTCCCTCCTAAATGAAGCCAAAGCTGTTTTCTTTTCCATTCTCTGCTTCGTTTGAATAGCATGTTATACTCTTGGTCCTGATTTCTTTAAAGTAGATATGTGAACCCTTGATATCCTTTCAACTCAGAGAGAAAAATAAAAGCCCACTGCCTTTGTTTCTGTTTATGTGCATGGGGGTTGTGATCAACTTACTATCTGTGAGTGACTTGGCAGTCCTTCACTCCGGAAGATAGCAATCGGGGACTTCTCCCAAGCTTTCTCCCAAGGATGGAGAGGAGGAAAGATAAGACCTTCCTATTTCTCCCTCTCTCTGTTTCTCTGTCATCACAGCAGGGGCTGGAGTGGATGGTGAATTCCTCCCCATCATACAAGCACATGTGTGCACACGTGTATGTTCACATGCACAAACACGCCCACCCAGGCACACACACAGCTCCAGGAAGGGCCTGAGCGCTGTGCTTTGGACACTGAAACCCCCCATTCTGGACAGAAACTCAGAAGGAGGTGGGGATGAAACCGAACAAGAGAGAGGTAGTGCTTCCTGGAGAGAGAGAGGAGGACGCACCCCCAAAGGTGAAGCAGAAGAGTTGAGGATGAGGACGGCAGGCGCCCCAGAGGAGGAGCAGTGTGGAGGCAGCAGAACCCCAGAGAGAGAGGGGAGAGTTTGACCAAGGGCAGCGAGCAAGAGCGAGGTATTCGAGATGCAGAGAGGAAAACGGAGAACCAGAGACGAGGAAGCACCCTCTCCATGGCACAGCAGCAGGGTGCTGGTCCAGGCAGCGACTTTGGGGCAGCCGCCATGCCAGGGCCCACCCTTCCCCCAAGAACTGATGGCAAATGGCCAGCGTTCCCCGGTGTGTAGAGGCCACGGTGTTTGGTGTTTCCCAGAAGGCCTTTCCATGGAATAGGATGGAAGGCTGCGAACTGCTGGGCGAAACAGTTGAATAGGCCTCTTGACCGGGGGACCTGCCCAGGCTCTCACATTCACATGTGCAGATGATGGCTGCTGCTGTCACGGGGTCTGCGTGGACTGACTGATGTGTCTCCCCATCTGCAGGTCCACTCATGCCTGCTGAGCGTGCGTGCCGGCAAGGATGGCTGGTTTCAGCTCTACAGCCCTGGCGGGGTGGCCTGTGATGACGATGGGGAGCTGTTTGCCAGCATGGTACGTGCGCCCCTCCAGGGCAGCTGTGGGTGGGCCCCAGGATCTGCACCCAGCAAGAACAATTGCTGGGCCAGCACAGGGTGTCGCGACTATCACGATGCCAATCGTGAGGAAGGCAGTGACAGCTGCAGCGGTCGCTTACTTGTGTCTCACCTGAGCCAGCTCCATGCCAAGCATTCGACATTCCCAGGTTCACTCAGTCTCATGCATTACTCTCTTACAGATGAGGCAGCTGGAGCCTGAGGCGTTAGTGCCCAAGAGAACACAGTCAGTTGTCATGGTTATATGATGAACATAGGACTAGGTGCCCAGCACACGGCAGGGATTCTAGAAGGCACTGAACATTCGCCAGCTCATCTAATTTTTTTTTTTTGATTTGGAGTCTCACTCTGTCACCCAGGCTGGGGTGTAGTGGCACACTCATGGCCACCACAGCCTTGGCCCACTGAGCTCAGGTGATCCTTCCGCCTTCCAAGAAGCTGGAACCACAGGCGTGCACCATCACACCTGGCTAATATTTTGATTTATTGTAGAGACAAGGTCTTACCAAGTTGCCCAGGCCGTGATCTAATTTTTACAGTGAGATGTCAAGGTCAGGATGACTGTCTCCACCATAACAAATGGTCTGAATTCACCAAACCGCTAACTGCATCTTCTGGTACTTCTGGTACTTTCTTTGTGCCGGGCACTGTGTCCAGCACTTCATGAGTACTACCCTTTTTAATCTTCACTGAAACCCTATTGCTTCATTGCAGCTGTGCTGAAACAGGCCCAGAGAGGTTCTGTGACTTGCCTGAGGTCACACAGGCTTTTGTTTCCAAGTCCTTCCTTGGCCAGGCCACACACCCCCTTCCAATAGTAAGGGACACGGACTTCTCCTTCCTGGGCAGATGTTCCACCCAAGTGACTGGCAGCCTCAGCTACTCTTGCTGATAAACCAGCATCATTCACTGGTTACTCATGCTGTCAGGTTCAAGCCTGGGTCTGAGACTTCTCAGCTAGGAGCTAGCTTGTTGACCACTGGCTGGTCTCTGCAAGCTCCCGCTTCTGTAAATCCCGTGTAGTAATGGCCTCCCAGGTTTCCATAGCAACGGCTGCGATAGTAGATGCTGTGGATGCAAGGTGCTCAGCAGGCCCACACGGTTGGTGCTCGGAAGTGACCGCCGGGCGTGGGGTCAGGGCCCATAGCGAACTTTGCAGAGATGACTGTGCAGTGACAGGTCGAGGCGCTGTCCCCAGAGCCGTTCCCGAGGGGCTTATTTTTAGACCCTTTCCTTCAGCCCCCTGCAGCCCTCGTTGGCCCCTTGGGAGGCCCCTCCACGCGCCCTGTGCACCCAGGAATGTGCCTTCCTTGCCTGCCCACGCCGCCTCTTCGCGCTCAGTCCCCTCAAGGGTTCTCCTCTGATGTCACAGTGTCGCCATGACAACGCTCTGGGTCTCTCCCCCCACCGTCCCACGATGCTGGCGGCTTCCCAGCCTGCGAGATTGCATGTGTATGCCAGAGTTGTTAATGAGAGAGTGGAAAACACACAGACTCGGGAGGGAAGTGGGCAGCACCGGGATGGAAAGGCGCTGTTTCCATGGAGACGCATGGTGAGGAAGCCGTCCCCGGACTGTGCTGCCATCTCCAACCACCGAGGGGCAGCTGCCGTCGTGGGAAGTTGGAGAAAAGCCAGTGGGATGCCCCGGCCTCCCCCTCCCCTGAGGCCCCCACCCCCCACACACCAGAAGAAAGACCGTCCAGCACGTGACAAGAGGGAACACAGCTTGCCAGTCCATGGGTTTCTGGAGCAGGCGACTTCCCAAAACACCCTTAGGAGATCACGGTGGGCTTGGCAGGGGCAGCAGGGCCCCATCACGTCCCCTGCCCCATATGTGGGAACCTTGCAAGCGAGGGCTGCCCAGAAATTTCCACCTGGCTTCAGTAGTGCCAGGAATTGAGAGGACCAAGTGTTGCAGAGCCCCGAAGGGAGCTGGGGAAGAGCTTTGGTTACCATCTTTAAGTGTACACTAAGCACGTTCCCATTGCTGTGCAGTCTTCGTCACCATCCGTCTCCAGAACTTTCTCATCATCCCACACCGAAATTCAACATCCTAAATAATGCCCTGTCCGTCCGCCCTCCCCCTACCTCCCCACCATCCCGGCAGCCAGTTTTACTTCCTATGAATTTCATAGTCCAGGTACCCCATTAAGTGGAGTCATATAACATTTGCCCTTTTGCAACTGGCCTGTTTTAGCATCATGTTCTCAAGTCCTGTCATGTCGGACAGTACATCAGGGCGGGGTTTCTTGCATCCCCGTGGAGTCTGGTGGTGACCTTAGGACATCTGGCTGTCTGGCAGGGCGTGGATGGGTCTGTTTATTGTCTCCTGGGTCTACACTGTCTCCGGCGTGCTAGTGGCTGGCACAAAAGGTCACAGGCCCTTGGCGTCCCTGTCCCTTCACCGGCCCATGGCGTCCCTGTCCCTTCACCAACCATGGGCCCACGGCGTCTCTGTCCCTTCATCGAGGCCTGTTTGCCTCACAGGTGCACATCCTCATGGGTTCCTGTTATAAGACCAAAAAATTCCTGCTCTCCCTGGCGGAAAACAAGCTGGGACCCTGCATGCTCCTGGCGCTGAGGGGAAACCAGACCATGGTGGAGGTGAGGAACTGGCCCCCGCCCAGCAGGGCTGCGGCTCCATCCCCGCATCCTGCTGGTTGAACA